ATGATATACAGGCTGAACAAGAGCGGTGAAAGAATTGAACCTTGTGGGACTTATAACCAAACAATAACTTTAATACAACATCTAAAAAAAAAACGTTTTGAACGTCTTAAGAACCTTCAACAATAATGTTTTTATAATTTACTGGGAACATTAGGGAAACATTCTTAGAACATTAATATAATAGGAATGGAACGTTCTAAAAACTTTTTTAATAACGTTCGTATAACCATTTAGATTTAGTCATTTAGCAGACACTTTTATCCAAAGCTACTTAAAAGTGAGGACAATGGAAGCAATCAAAATCAACAAAAGAGCAATGATATGCAAGTGCTATAATAAGTCTCAGTTAGCTTAACGCAATACACGTAGCAAGGTTTTTTTTTTATTATATAATAAATAAAAAGAAAACAGAATAGAAAAAGAATAGAGCAAGCTAGTGTTAGAGGAAACATTAATACCTTGAATTTTATGCGAGCAGCTATTGGTAGTTAGTGCAAACTGATAAACAGAGGTGTGACGTGCATTCTTTTCGGCTCATTAAAAATGTATCTTGCTGCTGCGTTCTGGATTAATTGTAAAGGTTTGATAGAACAGGCTGCAAGACCTGCCAAGAGAGCATTGCAATAGTCCAGCCTGGACAGAACAAGAGCTTGAACAAGGAGTTGTGAAAGCCCTTAAGCTAAGAAATCCCTTAGTTATAAGGATAAGGGTACCCTTAGTGAAACTTGGGTTGCAAGAAAAAAAACCTAAGGGTCAACTTAAGGCTGTCATTAAGTATTTCCCTTAATTATCTGAGTGTTCCCTTAAGTGTTGCTACAAAGTCCTTAGTAACTATTTCACCTTGATAAATTTAAGGGCCCAAAACAGCTCCCTTAAGTCATCTTAAGCCCTGTTCGCACGGGATTAGTATTATCTGGGGACCTTGTGTGATTTAAAAAAAAAAAAGACACAAATATATTTTCGTGCCCTGTGACATTTACAAATTCACAGGCCTTTTCTCCAGCTCCGCTTTCGTCCTCAGTTGCTCTGGCTCCACTGCGTCCTTCCAGATCCCCGCCTCGGTCGCCTGAGCCGTCAGTAGTGCTGGGCGGTATACCGGTTCATACTGAATACCGGTGTTTATTTTTGTTATGATATGCATTTTTAAAATACCGCAATATGCCGCTTAAACAACATTTGGAATGCGACACTGTTTGAGAGGGGTCCCTTTTCACTGTTGCACTGTGGTGAGGGCACAGCTGTATGTGTTACTAAGCGTGACGGTAAAGATGGATAGACATTGAAAATTCCGAAACTGAAGCTGCAGAACTAGTAGGACATGACACTAGTAGGACATAACTTCTCCACAATATCCACACTGACCTCCACAAATATCCACCGCCCACTGCCATCATCACCCACATCTCACACACACAAGCGTGACTTTAGCACTAGATTTAGCAACTTTCAGACCCTTTAGTGGCTTTTTTTCCCATAAAAGATACATACTGACAAACCTAGCGACTTTTTGGATAAACCTTAGCTTTCATTCAGTTGGAATATGTCGTCGGTTCTGCCCCACGAGCGCGAGGCCTGACTCTCCCAGCGCAGTGTTGCCTCTCAGCGTCTGTTCTGTGCAGTGAATGGCAGAGAAGCAGCGCATTCAGTGGGCCGTACCGCAGCAGACTCATCAGTAAATGAGTACAAAACAGTGTTTCCAAGCACCTGTCGCTTACTGATTGTTTGGAATTATAAATATGAGCGTAGTTCGTCTGTTAATATCACATGCACTTTTTTGTTTGTTGTTTTTTTTAGTTTGTTACTCAGACGCAGGCAGTGCGCTGCATGAGACAAAAAAGTAATATAGCCAAAACAACCGCATAGCCGCTCTTTAGTGTAGATGCATGTTGATTTTATCAGACGATGCCGCGATTATAAATGAGAGTGACTCCTGGTTAACATGTATTAAAAGGGGTCGTGTTTAGTCACTATTTAGTGTGCTATTTTTTGACAATATTCACTCATCATGACAGTAAAATAGGGCATTCTAAGTCAACATACTGCAGTATTTCCTCTCTCAATCAGTAGAAAATATGGTTAACACCCGGTCATGCATGAAAAAAAAAATACCGTCATGTACCGTGAAACCAGTATAATTTTGAAAAATACCGTGATATAAATTTTTGCTCATACCGCCCAGCACTACGGTTCTGCCCCACGAGCGCGAGGCCTGACTCTCCCAGCGCAGTGTTGCCTCTCAGCGTCTGTTCTGTGCAGTGAATGGCAGAGAAGCAGCGCATTCAGTGGGCCGTACCGCAGCAGACTCATCAGTAAATGAGTACAAAACAGTGTTTCCAAGCACCTGTCGCTTACTGATATGCACTAATATGCATAGTTTGTTACTCAGGTGCAGGCAGTGTGCTGCATAAAGCAGAAAATTAATCCCCCGGTTTCACAAACAAGATTTAGGCCTAATCCCAGACTAAAATGTAAATCTGAGCTGTTTCAACTGAAAGAAACTTGCACGAACTGATCTTAAAATATGTCAGTGCCTTTGTTTTGTCTCAAGATGCACACCAGTCTTGTTTTTTTCTAAGGCATGGTTATAAAAACTACTTAAATGTCCTAATTGAACTATTGCCTAATCCTGGCTTAACCTAAACCCTGTCTGTGAAACCAGGCCAATATATCCAAAACCACGGCATAGATGCATGTTCATTTTATCAGACGATGTCACGATTATAAATCAGGATTCAAGGAGTAAAATGAGAGTGACTCATGGTTAACATGTAGTATCCTTGTCATCCTTCACCCCGTCCTCCCTCCTGAGTTGGACTATACAGAATAGATTCTGGTAAGAAAAGACACGAGTGTAATGTCTTTGATTACTTAATTGTAGGGAATTAATTATTATTAATTCATTCAGGTTTTGAAAGGACTCGGATCTGAAGAGCCTGATTCAACCTGATTAGAACTGATTCCAAATTTGTTCTTTTACACTTTAAATCAAGGGTCGTCCAGCGAGCCGTGGTCATGATAAATGAGAAAAACAAATACAACACCCTTCAGTCTCGCTATAAATGTTAATTTTTGCTGCATCATGAAATAAATCGGGAATCTGCTTTTGAGAAATACACAGTGGTGTATAAAGTACCTGAAAGCCATACTCAAGTAAAAGTACAGATATCTTACCA